TCTCTCAGCCCAGCCTGCACCCTCTCACAGTCTGGAACCCATGGGGGCTGTCTGACTGTGGCTTAGGCCCACTCCCCATAGGATTGGGCCTAAGCTGCAGTCTGACATCCTTAGCGCTGTTGAGGAGGTGGGAGAGGCTCCTGCCACCGCCTCTGCGCTCACAGCCATCATCCCGGCTTGTGGCCAAGCAGAGCTCCCCCTGTGGGAGTGCACTGACCACAAGGGGACAGCTCCTGAATTGAGTGTCTGCCCCCTGGTAGTCAGTGCACATAATAGCGACCAGTCATTCTTGGTGGTTCCGCCATTAGGGTCAATTTACATATTACCCTTTTGTTATATAGGACTAGAGGCCCAGTGCACGAAATTCGTGCACAGGTAGGGTCCCTAGGCCTAGCTGGTGATCAGGGCCAATCTGTGGGGTGACTTGCAGGGCAATTGGGGCCCCCGCTCGCACCTGCCTTGGCCTGGCACTGCCCACTCACCTGCTCCACCATCCTGCTGTGGTCCTGCTCTCGTCAGGACCCATCAGGGCTGGCAGCACCTCCACTGCTGCCCACTTCCAGTGCTACACTGATGCCTGTCATGTTCTGTGCCACCCCTGGTGGTCTAACTCCCGGTCAGTGGAACTCCCACCCGTGGGGACAATTTTCATATTAGCTTTTTATTACATAGGATTTTAAATATCATTATTGTTTTACCATTATCAACTTTATAATTATTATTCACTACAAAAATTCACTGGTTCTCAGAATTAACCATTTTGTCTATGGCTGTATCCCAGCACCAAGAACAGTACCTGGTACATAGCAACCACGTTACTAAAAATTTGTTGAAAAAAAACAGAATTGTACTAAGCACTTTATTTGCATTAGTTCAATTAATTTTCACAAAAATCCTTAAAAGTAGGTACCAGTATTAAATATATTTTATAAATGAAACTGAAGCACAGTAAAAGTAAAAAATCACATAGATGGCACATTTCAATTCAGAGATCATAAGAAGTGGGGACCCTGAGCTTTAAGCCAGAGCTGACTGACTCTAGTCACATGCTCTTTTTAAATCTTTTTTATTCATCTTTATTGTTGAGAGTATTACACATGACCACTTTCCCCCATTGCTCCCTGCAAGAGTGCTAAGCCTTGTGGCCCCTTTACCACTGCAGTAAACTCTGTAGCTTCTAAACAAATCCACTAGACAATTGTTTTCTTTTCTTTTTTCTTTGAGAAATGAATCTGTTCTTTTTTTACAGTCACTATTGCTTCTTTTTTTATTGTTTAAAGTATGACATATGTCTCCTTTTTTCCCCATCGACCCCTCCCTGTACACTCCCCTCCCCAGGACAAGCCCCCACCTCCCCAGTGTCCATGTCCATTGGTTATGCTAATGTGCATGCATACACGTCCTTTGGTTGATCTCTTACACCCCTCTCCCCCGCCACACACTCTCCCCTGCCTTCCCTCTAAGGTTTGACAGTCCGTTCGGTGTTTCTCTGTTCTGGATCTATTTTTGTTCATCAGTTTATGTTGTTTATTATATTCCACAAATGAGAGAGATCATGTGATATTTATCTTTCTCTGACTGGCTTATTTCACTTAGCGTAATGCTCTCCAGGTCCATCCATGCTGTTGCAAATGGGAAGAATTCCTTCTTTTTTACAGCAGCATAGTATTCCATTGTGTAAATGTACCACTGTTTTCTAATCTACTCACCTGCTGATGGGCATTTAGGGCATTTTAGGCTGTTTCCAAATCTTAGCTTTTGTAAATTCTGCTGCTATGAACATAAGGGTGCATATGTCCTTTCTGATTGGTGTTTCTGATTTCTTGGGATATATTCCTAGAAGTGGGTTACTAGTTCAAAGAGGAGTTCCATTTTTAATTTTTTGAAGAAACTCCATACTGTTTTCCACAGTGGCTGCACCATTCTGCATTCCCACCAGCAGTGTAAGAGGGTTCTTTTTCTCTGCATCCTCTCCAGCACTTGTCGTTTGTTGATTTGTTGATGATAGCCATTCCGACAGGTGTGAGATGGTACCTCATTCTTCTTTTGATTTGCATCTCTCAGATGATTAGTGACTTTGAGCATGTTTTCATATGTCTCCTGGCCTTCCGTATGTCCTCTTTCAAACAGTGTCTATTTAGGTCCTTTGCCTATTTTTTGATTATATTGGATTGTTTATCTTCCATTTGTTAAGTTGTATGAGTTCCTGTAAATGTTGGAGATTAAACCCTTATCGGAGATAACATTGGCAAATATGTTCTTCCATGCAGTGGGCTTTCTTGTTGTTTTCTTGATGGTTTCTTTTGCTGTGCAGAAGCTTTTTATTTTGATGTAGTCCCATTTGTTTGACTTTTTTTTTCCTATTAAGTTACAAATTACATTAGATTTCCCAGATCATCCATTGTAATGGTGAGTGCAACTAAGATTGTTGATTGGTGAGAGAGATCTATTGAAGTAATTTACTGTGAGATATTTTAGACAAAGAAATATCAGGCTAAAGGCTAGCACAGTAAATCGAATAGGTTCAACATGAGATGCTAATGGCAAACACTGTAACTTTGTTCTGAGTTCTGCCATGATCTGGGCAATATGTGACTTTGGGTAAATCAGCAAATATCTCTTCCTTGATTTACCCCACCTGTGCCATATTGCTGATCACCTCAGAAGGGTAAAGTAAGAATTCATAAATGTTCATTCAGGTGAAAGATGTCACATAAGAATTGTAACACACAAGATGATTTTTATATGGCTTTGTGTGGTTGAAATTTTGAAAAGTAATATATTTCAAAATATGAAACTATTTAATTCTCAACTCTTGCTGAATCTGTAAGAGTCATTGTTTTTTCTTCAATCCTTCTTTGCAGTTTGCTGTATAACCCAAGTAAAATCTTCCACTGAAACTATTTACTGCTTGTTTCCAGTGCAAATTCCTTTCTGCTATTTCATTTTCCTCTATTATCCATTATACATAACCTTTAGATACTAATGGCTGTATGCTGTGCTGCCCTCAATCCACTAGGGAAAATCACATCGATATCAATGGGACATCAATAGACATGCTGTGCATTATGGCTCTGTAAGTGGTCATTGGAAAGCAGTGGAAATCCAGTACGTGAAAAGTCAGAGCCGGATTGTTCAGGCAACCAGCCCCATCCCCACACCTACCCCACTGTACCTTTTGGGTCAGCAAGAGAATAATTCCTTTGAATAAGTTTTTAGGTCATAAAATTTGGTGAAGGGAGGCATGGAAAGGTAGTGATTATATGAAGATATCACAGAATAGCTATTGTCATCACTTTCCCATAAATCTGTAATATTTTCCATCTGAATCAAAAAATATGTCCTTATGCTTCATCCTCTCTGATATTTTGGCATCAGTGATGTATCAGTGCCAGTTGGAAGCACATTTGCTTGAATTTACAAATAAGCCACATGAAGTAGTAGTCAGGAAGACAGATGACCATATGCAAGGTATCAAGAGAAGGCGAGGTTAAGGTACTTCATCAATGGTCGTGAAGGGCACAAACACGGCTTCTCTGGTAATCTTTGATGTTTTGATCAAGTTTCTCTACAGTCAGCAGTTTGTATAAGAGGCAGTAGAAATTCACAGGAATACATTGTGCCTGGGGCCAAAAGGTCTGTTGCATTGAATGAGTTGCGGAGGAGGGATTTCTGACTCTCAACCCAGTACCATCAGTAAATCACATTGATGTTCCTTTCCTCTTGCCATGAAATTAGTAGGGATTCATACCACCTTCAGGGGATGTGGATAGTGTCCAAATTCTACAGATGAAATAAGTTAAGTCCATATATCTCCTTCCCATGACATTCTATGTATGAAGTAGGAAGTTCATCAGAATGGATACTAATACAGAATTAGTAGAGAGAATATTGAGCCCAGTTCTCCGATCTAAAGTTTAGGGATGAAACTGTTCAAGAGAGCAAAGGGCCTTGCTCTCTGTACCAAAATTGAGTAACACTGATTTTAGTGTTTTCTTCTGCCTCTTTTATACTAGTACAAATTGCCCTTTCTGGGGCTATTATTTCAGTGGAGTAAGAAAATGATGAAAATGATAGAGAGGAGTGGAATGTGTTCATTTTGCCTTCCTCATGAAGAAAGTACCAATACCTCACAGTACAGAGAAGAAATAAAATAAAATGTGGCAAATTTGGATTTAAAAAATTCAAGAATCTAGATTTTTTAAAGGAGAGACTAACAATAGAGTTTTCCCCTTAAATCTAAATAAACCATGCCCTTCATACAACTTTTCTAAATGTAGGTAAATAATACCGAAAACTATCTCTTTCACTTACTAGCAACTTCATAATGCCTCTGTGCCTCAGTTTTTCTCATCTACAGAATGGGAATCCTAGTAACATATTTCTTGTGAATTTTCTTTTTAATTAAATGAAATGAAGCATTTAAAACATCCAGGACAGCCCTGACTGGTTTGGCTCATTGGATAGAGCGTCGGCCTACAGACTGAAGGGTCCCAGGTTTGATTCCGGTCAAAGGCATGTACCTTGGTTGTGGCCACATCCCCAGTAGGGGGTGTGCAGGAGGCAGCTGATTGATGCTTCTCTCTCATCGATGTTTCTAACTCTCTACCCCTCTCCCTTCTTCTCTGTAAAAAATCAATAAAATTTATAAAAAGATAAATAAATTAAACATTCAGGACATTGCTTAGCAGTCTAAATAAAGATTAATGATTATTATTAGTGGAACAGTATTATTATTAGGATTATTAGTGTGAGCCTAGATAAGTGTAGTGAGCATATAAGTTATCCTAACATGCACTACTTTTGTTTCTCTTCTTCCCGAAGTCATTTAAGACAGTTTTTCCAGAGCTTGAATGTCTGTTGCACAAGAATCCTCTAATGGGTTTGTTATTTCCTTCTGTCCAGCCTAAACTATCTGTAACTGTGTCTTTATTTTTGACCCTTCCAATAGTTTGGTGTTTCTATCTGAAGGCCTTATCTACGTTGAAACACATTTTCCTTAAAATGTATTATAGCTTATAACATTCAAGAAGTGACTCAGCATAAAATGCTAAAAAGCATTTTACTTTATCCTGTGGACCATTACCAATCCTTTTGATGTCATGTTTAATACTTATTACTACTTCTAGTTCACTCTTATGGATCCATTCATGATAATGATGGCAGTTTCTGCATCAGCATTGACTTTGCCTCCTACCCATGAATCTACTAACTATCTAGCTATCTCTCTAAGCAGAGATCTGGAAAATTATGGTATAATTTCAGTCCAATTATAAATCTGCCGTCCATGCATTTATCAGACTCTTCTTTAAAAGAGATTTATATTTTCATCTGGCATCACCTTTTGGTGTAATGTGTTCCATAAGTTTTATCCCTCCTATGTTAAGTGGCACTTTACCTGTCATAATTAAAAGTATAAATTCAATCCAAATTAAACATACTAAAATGACAGGAAAAACTTGTGTCACATGCAACTAATTTACAGAACGATAATTAGCACCTATTGGTAAAAATGAAATGAAGGCATTTTAAGGAAAGGCAAATACTGTACTGATTTTTTTCTTGGAATGCTAGTATCTATGTGGATTTAAGACATAGAATAAGAAAGAGGATTTCTTTTGTGAATGAGTAATGGATACTAAGAGATTATTTTGTTGTCTCTAGAAGAGGCAGTCATCCTACTAAGTACTTCCCATTTAACATTTTTGTAGCAGGGAAGTTAAAATGAGGCCTTGAAATAGATAAAGATCAACTTCAAGGCATAGTAACAGAGGACTGGATAGCATGCTAGTAATTTTGGAGCTTTACATACTTAAGAAAATTAAAAACACCAAGAATCAATCTTGCAAATTCAGAAAAAAATTTCCTCTTGAAAAATATCTGATTTCAAATTAAATAATTTGAATTCTGATGCATAAAGGAAATTTCACTCCTTTTTCACTTAGTTATTATATATGCATATGTAACATATATGTTTTATGAATATATAAGACCCACATTGTATAAGCCTTTAAGTTATACTTACTCTGAAGTGAACATGAACTAAATTAGAGCAATAGCTTTGAGACAGATGGCAAGTTAACCCATTTTAAACTTCAAAAATGTGACTGAATTTTCATACAGAACAGCCAGAGTAGGAAGAGCCAATACCACCAACAGAATATCTGATTCATCACTATCAAACTAAGAGGTGACACTACAGGATACAGACACATTCTTTGGGCCTTAGCAATATCCCCTTTACAGAGAATATATTGAAAAATATATTGGAAAACCTGAGGAAGCAAAAATGGAATATATGGTAGTATGGCAGGAAATGAAGACAGTAAGTAAGCAGGAACAGATAATGAAAGGCATTTAAGTATGGTAAGGAGATTATAATTCATTCCAAGAGCAAATAGTGAGTTTTTTATGGTTTTTCATTAGGGCAAGAAAATTATTTGCTCAGATTTACATTTAGAAAAGTCACCCTAATGGCAATATGGAAGTTGGAATTGGCAGGCATGGTGATGGGGGTTGTAAAATCGAAGTCATGAAGACAAATTAAGAGACCATAATAGTAATCCAAGTGAGTGATAGAGAGAACATAAACTTCTGGGAGTGGAGAAGGAGAAGATAGAATGGAAGAGTTTGGGGGAGACAAGGGCGAAAAAGGTGAAGGGAGTAAGAAGTTACAAAAATAGTAAAGTAGAGCATAGGAAATATAATCAGTCCTATATAATAAAAGGGTAATATGCAAATAGAATGAATGGCAGAACAACCAAACAACCAATCAAAGCATAATATGCTAATGATATGCTACGGCTGCTCAATCGCTCACTATGACATGCACTGACCACCAGGGGGCAGATGCTCCAACCAGTAGGTTAGCTTGCTGCTGGGGTCTGGCCAATTGGGACTGAGCAAGATGGGCCAGACACGCCCTGGAGCCCTCACGGGGTCCCTCCCCAGTCTGATCATGCACCGGTGGGGTCCCTGCACCCTCTTGCAATCAGGGACCCCTTCGGGGATGTTGGAGAGCCAGTTTCAGCCCAATCCCACAGGCCACTTCCTTTGGGAGGGTGCCAAACGCAGGGCTCATGGCTGGCGAGCACTGCTGCTGCAGCGCGAGCCTCTCCCGATGGGGACTGATTGGACGCGAGCCTGTGGCAGGCACAGTGGAGCCAGGATGAGTGGGATAGTCAGGTAGGAGCTGCAGGCAGCATTGGACTGTGGGTTTCAGCCCTATCCCTGCAAGCCACCCAGAGGGACCCCACCCATGCACGAATTTGTGCACCGGGCCTCTAGTAATATTATAATAACTATGTATGGTGCTGGGTGGGTACTTAAATTATTGAGGGATCACCATAAATTATGTAATTGTCTAACTACTATGCTGTACATCTGAAACTAAAATAAAATAATATTGAATGTCAACTATAAGTTTTTAAAAATTAATTGAGTGATATATCATTAGGGAGAAAAAGAAGTATTTAGGAGATAAAATACACTTGACTTAGTCATTGATTTGATGTGGCAGGTGAGAGAGCAGTTGTTGTCTGGCTTAGGGACTAGATAAATGGTGATGTTGTTAGCCAAGGTAGAGTATAGAAGGAAGAGGTTTAAGAATGACAATATATACACAGGTCAAGATTCTTATTAAATGTCTGGTACTGAAACTTTGGAGGCATCTACCTTTTAGGACACCAAAATCGTTGTATAACAAGGAAAAGTATTGTGAGGCTGGAACTCTCAGAATACTAATATTCAAGGAGGTGGGGGACTAAAAATCTGGTAAGCAGACTAGAAAAAGCAACTAGAGCAGTTGGCAGAAAACCATTAGATGGTGGCGATAAGAACAGTGTTCCTCAATGTGTAGTGTAGGGACCAAGGATTTTAAGACCTCTTGAAGGATCCACAAAGTAAAACTATTTTCATAATACCCCAAAGACATTATTTGTCTTTTTTGCTATAATTTTTTCATGAGTGTGCAATGGTGTTTTCCAGAGGTCATATATATGATATCACAAGAGATTGCATGCAAAAGCAGATCTGAGATTTCAGCTGTCTTTAAGCCAGACAAACATTAAAGAGATTTTCAAAGACATACAACAATGCAACTCTTCTCACTAATTTTTTGGCTTTGTAGGATATAATTACTTACTATAAAATATGTTATTTGTGTTTTAATGCAATGCTTTATTCTTATTACTCAATACATTAATGAATAAATATTTGTAAAAGTTATATTAATTTCCAATATAGAAAATATTGGTAGATATAACCTACATCTCCTTATAACATCCTCAGTAATTTTTAAGAGTGTAAAGAGGCTCTATGACTAAAATATTTGTAAAGGACTGAAGTAGAGCGTTTCAAGAAGAGTAAGTGAAATAGGGACTATGTTTTGTTTGCACCAAGATAGAGGCTTGCAGGCCAAGTGCAACAAGAAGACAAAAGGGATAAAGAAATTATAGTTGCTCATGATAAAGTTTTTGAAGTGATGAGTCATAGAATCAAACTTAGTAGGGAAAGATAATAGGGTGAGGAAGCTAATGGCATGGGAAACAAGAAAGAGAGATGAATCCAAGTGTCCAGAGATCCAGATGATGTTGTAGGGTAGTTATGACTGTAAGCAAACTGAATAGCTAGGATGAGATGGTCAGAAGTTAGTATATCAGAATTTTAGATTTAACTCAGAGCATAAAAATGCTATTCACCTATATTTTATAACTAGTCAAGGAACATAAAGGATGAGGTCTTTTCAGATGAATCATTTGCTCAGGGAAGGCTAGGTTCTTGGTCAGGTACAATCCCCCAACATGGAATCTCCTGGGTAGATTCACAAGCCCACTAAAATATAGTGTTTAAATGAAAGTACATACCATATTATATTAGATCCTCTAATATGGGAAAGACCCATGTGGAATTCCAGATCGCAGTGTGGTTTCTCAAGAGCTCCTTCCTTGGGGCTCCTATTGATCTCTATAGAATAATAATGCACAAATTAAGAGAGTCCAAGATGACCCACTGTAATTTCCTGCTGATCAGAACCTCATCACAGTATTGCCAATCTAGTTAACGTAGACCTTACAGTATACGGTATAGTTAACTTTTAGAGTAATTGCTAACCATGAGAGCCCCAAATGTCTGATTTACTGACTGCAACAGGAAATCCTTAACTAGAAGAAAAGACATATTAAGAACTCTTGGTTCCATGTCATTTCTTTTAAATTAGACAAGACTTGTGTCCTATCTGGAAACTGAAGGCTAGCATATGTACATAGAACATCAGAGGAGGTTGTTGAGTTCTCAGATAAGCTAGTTGTGGCTGTGGCCAAAAATGAGTACAAATGTGATTTTGACAGGAAGCAATCTGTGCTGTTTTACCACTTGGTACACAAGAGGCAGATTTTGCTTTTTGATATTCACACGTTTCACCAAATCAACTAGCCCTGTTGCTTATGTTGTAGACAAGATTCTTAATTCAACTTTGA